TCTGGATAAGATGAACAGTTCATCCACCTTAATTACTGTGATCATCATCCAACTTTCCAGATGAAATTCATTTTAATACTTAATAACCAATGATGGGCATAAACACTGCAAACTGTGGTCACAAACAGGAAAATCTGCTTAGTTTAACTATTAGATATTGCTAGATATTTTTGTTATCTACTTCCTTGTCCACAGCTTGTGATTAGGATAGCAGTAATGAGGTCTCAGTAACATGCTGCATAAGTGAGTTCTCTGTGCTCATTATTTATGGTTTTTCATTTTCATTTTAAAATTGTTGGCCCTAGCAAAAATACAGAGTCAATGTATGTATGAATATGGATCTTATTTACTACTGATATTGTTTGGTATCAGGCCAGTTGCCAGCCAAACGTGACAATATTGCCAACTGGTCCAGAAGCTCCACTTAAGCTCTGACCTGGGCAGCCAAACCTGGCCTGCTTTCTTGTACTGGCACCCAGCCCTCTACTTCCAGCATGATTTATCGACAGGGCTTCCTAGGTGGACCTCAAGCATGCCTTGTAGCTAGTCTTGTCTCTGGCCCCCATTTGGATGTACTTTAGACAAATACTATAAGTAGTTCTCTCTCTGGGTCTGTCTCCTGTAAGCTTGGATCAGCATTATTGAGTCTTGTCTCCATCCTTCTCTTTGGCCCTGTCTCGTGGTGTTCCTCAGTGGATTTCTTGGATATGCCCCTGACTCATTAGCTCGCCTTGCCTTATTCCCGTCACAAGCATGATGACTTCTGGTTTTGCCAATAAGCTTCTGGAAGCTTAGTGAAAAGGGGTCTTAACCTCAGCTTTCACTCCTTAGTTGAAAGAGTCCTGGATTTTAAACAAAAGTGGAAAATATCCTAGCAGACATATTCTGCAATGTTGTAATTGTCTAAATAACTTATAATCCTATTCACTAGATTCAAAATGAAATCTTGTCATTTAAAAAAGAAAATAAATTAAGAGAAATGAATGAGAGAAAGAAGATTAAAAGTTTTAAGAACAGGCAACTCAAATAAATTTGTATTTCAATGGAAATACACAGTCACTGAAAATTCTTGTGATTTAGACAGTGCAATTATCCATATAAGAACATGTTTTTCATTTTTGACCAATCCAAATTTTACAAAAATACAAAGTAATATTACAACTAGAAGGTGTCCAGTACTGACATTACTATACATACATATATGAATTATACATACATCAATGAATTATGGTTCTGAAAGTGAAAGTCTGGTTCTATCTATCCAGTAATTGCCATTTGTATCTATGTGGTCACAAATGAGGCTGAAATATCATGTTGTAAACATGTATGAAGTTGACTAAAAATTGTCTTACTCATCATCTCAAAAGAGCCTGACTTCTATATGTTTTGAATAAATTATTTTGTAACTTTTACAAGACAGCAGAACATGACTGCTAGGCATCCAATGCTAGCAGACATTAACAGAATTGAGGAGATTTAAAACCTTTTGAGAACAGCCCAAGAATTATTTAATGTAATTCAGGGTAGGCAGAATAAATACATGCTAGTGAAGGTTTCTGAAAGACGCTTCATCTTTTTGGTGGAGTTGAATATACTGCCTTTGCAGCTTTTGATGTTAGGCTGTACAGAAGAGAAGTCTATTGCAGGTGCTCAGGGCTGAAGAAGTAGTTTATTCCCCCAGACATAATTCGGTAGTTTCACTATTCCTGACAAGAAAGTTATCTTACCTAGCAGTTCAGCCTGAACACAAGATTAGAAAAAATGTTTAAATTTCAACTCATCTATTCCAGCCTCTTCACTGCCAGTGGTGCTTGAGTTTTCATTTTTCTCTTTACGTCTCACACAGGGTGCCAGAAAGCAGAATAAATCTGCTTCAGTCAATAAAGAATTTTGAGAAACAGCTTGCCAGTGTTTGACAATTATGTATAATGATGACAGTTCACTGGCTTCTCAAACCTTGTCCACAAGTGCGGCTGCATAGCTTCAGCTGAGCCAAATTAACAGCTCACTGGCAAAAAGTCTCATTGTCTCCTGTCTTCCCTGCTCAGTTAGTTTTCTGCTATTTTAGCAAGTTGAATTGGCATACCACCCAATTAAACAAGAGATGGGGCGTGGAAAGCAGTAACACTGTACAACTGGGAATGGACAATGTTATCCCCATCACAGTGGCAGCAATCTGTTCAATAAACTCAGTACAGAGCATGAATGCTTAACCTTTATAAAAAAATAATAACCAACATAGTTGGAATGGACTAACCATGTAAATATTCCCCCTTCATTGGCACGCTGGACACATGGCCCAGTTTCAAGCTATTAAATATTATACAGCTATTTTATACAAGGCATAAAACTATTTGGTGTTTTAACTTTTGCAAGTTTAGATAATTCAGTCAATACAGTAATAATAAAAAAAAATATTAGCTGTGATACATGCTTTTTTTTTTTTTTTTACTGTTTTATTTACAGAGATAGCCTAATCAGTCTGAATCTGTTCTGGTTTTTGAAAATATCTAGTTTGCATGAAACATGTTCAGAAGTTAAGGCAGATACTAATATAGTCATACTCACACTCATATTACATTACTTTATTTACATAGTTTATCCTACTGAGTAACAAAGTAATTAGGCCTACAGTGATACAACACCATAGTAAAAATAAGATTTCAACTCAATGCTGTGTGAAAATGTAAGTCACTTATCTTATTCTCATATTTTAAGATACTAGAGCATACACATGGAACTATTTTTCTTGTAAACCACCTCCACCCACTGATTATTTCGTATAATACAGTAGGCCTTGAAAAATACAATTGCTTTCTGTTACTGGTGAATGAGACTTTCCTCAGCAAGTGAGGTGAGGGGGAGTCAAGTTTTCACAAGGGTTTCTACACATGTGGTCACAAAGAAAACCTCCCAAATGTAAACTGAGTCGGTGCCATCTTTTGAACCTGTACTCAGTCTGATGTATTGATTCAAGGTTTTCCGAGCTAACAGCAAAATAAGCACAGACAATTTTTGCTGCTACTATTCATGAGTAGGTGGGTAACAATGATGTTGACTGAGTTTTTTCAGTATTTGGAAAAACCATGAGCACTAGCAAGCACAAAGGAGGCCAAGAGCCAATGAGAAACTCATTAAGCTGCTTAAACTGATCTAAATCTAGGCTGTTGAGGTCACATCCCGCCCCCGCCACATATTTCCACCCCCTTCCTTCGGCCAACGCTAGTGTTTACAGAAACAGGTGGTGGTGTGCCAGTTCAAGGGAAGAAAAAAAAAATAAAATAAGCAAAAACACGAAACCCCACATCATTTTAGGGGTAGAGTTTTCCACCTGATCAATTCTATGAGCTGGTTTAAGGGGCTGCACAGTACCAGCATCAGTGCAGAGGAGTAAGACAGGAATACAGCAGCTGGGAATTAAGAGTAGTTTAAGCTTCTGTGAAACTGGAACTTAACAAAGAACTGGAAGCTCTGGAGTTTATCCTCAGCTGTACAAACCCTTTCATTCACCAATCAAACTGCAGACTACAGATGGAAACAGATTTATTTCTCTTGCTATCTATGTCCAAAATCCATGTTGTTTTGTTGGTCAGAAGTCCTATTTAGTAGTAGTAACTTCTTTGTGACTGGTTCCTAACAGAAGCACAACAGTGATAACAGCACCTCAATTCTAAATCCTCAGACCAGAGAAGATTAGAGAAAGGATAAGAAGCAGACATAATTTTTTTTCTAGCACTTAAGAAGCAGGGAAGGAAGGGGCCTGAAGCAAGAGGAAGCAACTCTCTGTACTCAGTAGAATGTCTCGTAGTGCCTCAAAAAGAGGAAATTTCTTTGTCCTTTGACCACAGCAAAGGCAGAGTGTTCAAATATAGTGGATATAAACTTATGTTAGATATCATCACATCAGATACGAGTACGTATTAGAAATCCCAGTTCCTAAAAACGAGAGCATGGCTGCTAGCTAGGGCTGCCTTTGATACTCGCAGGCTGAGTAAGGAAGATCAATTTCTCTTTCATGTTGGTGTTTGTTAGGCTGTAATTTTTCTATCCGTTATCAGCACAGCACAATTAGTATTTAATAAGCATGCCCAATCTAAATTTTAAATGTTTTATATCTTGGCATTATTATGAGGATTAACATCTCCTTTTTCCTCAGCTAATGGTAGTTTGGAGCTTAGTCAGGCCAGGTGAGAAACGCAATGTGTAACTTTGCCAGTAGAAGCATATACACCTTTCTTCTTTTGTCTAAGAATATCGTTGATTTTCGCATTCTGACTTTGAAAGATTAAAGAGCAACTTCGAAAGTTGCCATCTGTAAAAACAGGCTGGAACTACGCAAAGTTCGCCTCTTCCTTACCCACCTCCTGCAGGCAGGCAGCGAGGTCCCCCAATTAATGACGACCACAAGACTTGTATGAGGCCAAATGTTTTTATTTTGGCTTTGTTTTTATTATTTTTTTTTTCCTCCCTCACACACCGGCTGCACCCGCACCTGGGACCGCTGCCCCTCAGCGAAGGGCGGGCTCCGGAGGGCGACACACGGCGAGCAGCGGGGCTGAGGCGCCACAGCCCGGCCCTCGCTGCCCACCTCGAGGCGGGGCTGGGGGCGCGGGACCCTCCCCACAACCGGGGCGGAGCCGGGGGAGCCCCGAGCCCCGCGCCCCGGGCCCGGGCCCTGTCAGCGGCCGCCAGCGGAGCGTGACAGGAGGGGGGGGGGGAGGGGGGAAGAGAAGGGGGGGGCGGCGAGCCCCGCCTCCGAGGTGACGCCACTGGAGGCGCCGTTCACGTGACGCAGGCAGCCAATGGGCGGGCAGCGGCCCCGCTCTCCGCGGGCGGGGGGCGGCGGAGGAGGGAGGAAGGGGGCGGGGGGAGGGGCTGAGGCCGCCGCCGCTGGAGCCGGAGCCGGGGCCGGAGCCTGGGGGGGGGCAGCGGCGGCGGAGGCGGCGGCGGAGGCGTGAGGCCGAGCGGGGGCTGTGCGCCTGGGTGGCCGCGGGGCGGCCATGCCGAATAAAAACAAGAAGGAGAAAGTGAGTCGGGGGGGTGGGGGGGGGCAGGCAGGCCCCGCGGGGGAGGAGGAGGAGGAGGAGGAAGAGGAGGAAGGCGGGGAGCCCCCTGCCGCCATAGGGGGGGGGGGAGCTGAGGAAGGGGCGGGCCCCGCAGGGCCTAGCCCAGGGTGTGAGGGGGTTTGGGGAGGTTTTGGGGGGGTCCCCGGGGAGCCTCGGTATGGGGAGGCCCGGCCCGGAGGGGCTGGGGGAGGGGAAGGGGGAAGGAGGTGAGGGGGAGGGCGGGGGGGCGCCCCCAGGGCTCTGTGAGCGCCGTGGGGGGGGCTCGGGGCTGCCCCTCTCGTCCTGCCCCTGTCCCTCTCCTCCTCCTCCTCCTCCTCCTGCTGCTGCTGCCGGGCAGGGCTGGGTGTCAGCCGCCCAAGGGGGTTCATGCACGAGTTGGAGGAAAAGTTCCAAATCCAGCCCAGGCGGCTTCACGTGTTGCGCTTTATTCGTGTGGCAGGTAATTAGGAATCAGGGAACCAGGGGGAGTTGGGAGCAGCGAAGTAGCCCGGCTCATCCAGCCGCTGTCCCGCTGGACCTTCGCTGTTTGGTTTGGTTGCCTTCTGCCCGCCTGCTAATTTTTCGAAGTTGCTTTGAAATTTAGATGGGTGTTGTGATTTGTGGTGTTCTTTTGGTTTCATTTTTAATGGTTTTCACGATATCCGAGCCCCCTGTGACACTAAAAACGTTTAAACTTCTCATTGCTTTTCTTAGAATTAGCAAATCTCACAAATAAGCAGTGGGTGAAAGATCCAAGTAGAGCTCTGCGAGGGAGATACCGGAGTTGTGGGCCTGTGCCTAAAACTGGACTTTCTAGTGCGTAGAACACCAGGAGCAGACAAGATAATGACGTGCACAATGCCTCCTGCGATGATGCTTGTTTCAAACTTAAACTAAGTGTAAAAGCTCCTGAGGCCAAAAGCCAGGTAGCAAGGCCAAGTTTTTAGACATGGTTCAAGTCACTTGCATTCTTACCTAGGTAAAATCTTAGCTCTGTATACTGTATGGGTGAGTTTTGAGGCATTGATACAATTCCAAAGCTGTCCTTAAAGGTGGAAAATGTTTAAAGCAACTTTGTAGAGACTGATGGTTCAGTATTAAGGTCTTCCAGTTAAACGGTATCATTTTTGTCCTATTGATTTTAATATTCTCAGAAGGCGTCTGAAATACTAATTTCTTGACTTGAAAATCTCTCTAAATCTCCTTTTCCAAGTAACTTAGACTGTGAACTTTTTTTTTTTCAGGAACCTGCAAAATCAGGCAAAAGTGGGAAAAGTGGCAAAGATGGACAAGAAAACCAAGAACATGAGGTAAAAACTACTAGAATATGTAGTCTTTCCAGGCAAATTTGTGATGACTTTTCAGAAGTCCTTCTGGACTGTTATAATTTTGAAGTGACAGGTGGAGTTTCTGGAACTACTGACCTGGTATTTGATATAAAGTCTTTTAAGACTCAAAAGAAAATGCTTTTGAAGAAGTTATTCTTATGTAGAGTAACTTTAGAGATCTAGCTTGCTTGCTACAGTCTTAAACACTCATCTGTTTCCTCTTTGGTTGCGAAGGGTACATCTATCTTATTTTCTGGTTTTATTGTGAGGTTTGGGGCTTGTCTTTTAGCTGCTTATTGCAGTTTTTAATCATTCTCTGTAATTCCTAAAGCTCTCTTCTTGGAACCTTTTGATGTTAGCAAGTCAGTTAAGTGTAAGTAGCCTGTTGTATTATCAGGAGACCTTAGGCTTAATCAAAGGCTGCCATTTTTTTTGTTGTTGTCTAATTTCTGTGTGTAGGTATACAATAGGGTGTTCTATTTTTGACTGATTATTGTGTTGTTACTGTGGCATGTTTTTTCTTCTGCATTGCTGTCTGTTTTGCCCACTAGCAAGGTGCAGTGACTTGAAAGGGGTCAGTTAAATCCTTACATGCTGCCTTTCTCACATTCACCTGGAAACACAGAATTAATAGCTCTGCTTCATCTGGAAGTCCACTGTTTATTTACTTAAAAGTCTTAGTAAAACAAAATACTCATCCAGCTTTACCACTTTTTCTCTCTCCCAAATGATTATGGGGGGGAAGGGAAAGAATGTTTTTCCTGCAGAGCGTGTAGTCTTTCTGATGCGTCTCAATGAGTTTTCATTCTTTTCTTGTGCAGAAGGATGTGTGCTACTGTCACTACAAGATTTAATGACTTTATGAATTACATTTAAATATTTTTGCAATTTCAGATAAAAGAATTCTGAATTTCGGCAGAGGGAACTCATATCCTAGCTACTAGGAAAAAAGCCCTTAGAATGAAATCAGAACCGTATCAGAGTGTAGATGTTTATAACAGTGCCAACGTATAGTTAACATATTTCATTGTGATGCATTCTGTTTTTACAGTATTGCTATAGTGTTGAAAGAGAATTACTTCTTGACTAGTTCCTGTGCAGTTGTAAGGCTTGCCATTATCAGTATCTTTGCTATATGTTGGTTGACTGGTTATTTTCTCATGCTTCTGAACAAAAAGCTGGTGAGACCAGAACTAATTTTTTTGGTCCTTCAGGATAGTGTGTAAACCTCCCACAGTAAACTAGTGAAGTGCTTTAAATGTTAACTGAAAATGTAGGTTCCTTTCTTTCCACATGTGCAGATAAAGAAAGCTCTTTCTTTTTTGATATTTGAAATGTGTGAGAGATTAATCTCAGTAGAAGAGCATGTTGTAGTATTCATGCATTTTTTGTTCTCTTTCCAAGTTGAATTCCCAATGCAAAGTACAGTTCTCTTAGATTATTGATGATACTTTGTCATATGTGAGTAAGGACAGAACGGGAAAGGGACTGGCAAACTGATGAGAATGTGACTGGCACGTATACTGTGATTGCCATTCCCAGTGGGCATTGTTTAGTCTCCAGACAATTTTGAACACCTCAGTGCTTGACTCATTAACTTAATTAATAGAGTAATTGCACGCAAATAGTAATATGGAGTTTGCATTCTAATGTGGCTGGCTGTAACAAAGATGTATGTTAGCTGGTGCTTATAGATGCAGAAGAGAAGCTATTTGTTAGCATAGCGAAGACTAGTAAATATAGAAGTGCTCTGGAACATGCTATTAATACACTTTTTAGATTTTTTTTTCTTATAAGAAGGTTGTCTTCTTGTTTCCTTGTTCCTGTGTTTTAACGTAGCTTTTTAAAGATCCTCATCTAGACTGTGAGTAGGTTTAGAAATATACTGGTTCATGTAATTTTTTCATCAAACTGAATTTAATGGGTATACATCTAATGTAAATGAATGTAATGCAGATGGCAGATTTTAAAGACTAGAAACTGCTATTCAAAGAGCAGGGACAACACAAGCAGCAGCATCCCACAAATACTGTATTTATAGATGCTTTTATAACACTTACCTAAAATCATGATGCCTTGGACTTCCATAGATGAAAATATAAACAGTTCTTAATAATTTGCAGAAAGAAGTGTGTTTCCTGTTTCGTGGTCAGGGAAATGAGATTTTGGTTGAGTGAAGCTATACAGTAAGTTTGTCTGATGAGGGATTGAAATGATACCTGGTATGCATGGTAAGTGTATGCATGCTGAACGAGGATGAGAGGGACTTGAGCTGGTACTTGGGTCACTTCGTAAATTTCAACAGAAACACATAAATGTGTAGGTAAGTATGTATGGAAGTTGTAAAGTGTAGCTGCAGTGCACAAGTGACCTGCTGAAGTAAATACCTCTCTGCTTACATCTCAAAGAATCCCACTGTAGTTGTGTTTGAAAACAAGGTCCATCTTGTCTGTTTTCATATCTCCGGTGTTCCCAACATAAAGATATTCAGGAGGAAAAAATACAAGATGGTTCTTCTTGCATTGCCTGTGCCTTGGTTACTTGATATATTACAAAAAGAGCCAGGCTAGAGAAGACCAGAGGTCTGTATTGTTTGGTATTCTCTATGTGGTAGTAGCTAATACTTAAGAAAAGGGTTTGAGTAACAGAGTGGATGTATGGTTTTCCATTCAGGCATGCCTTTCTTTCAGCCAGTGTGTGGCTTAGAAGGTTGCTTTCTAGCTGAGGTGTTATATAAAGTTGTTTTCATATTATTAGTGATTTAACAGACTTTTCTGTATAGTCGTCTGTAGATTTTTTTTTTTCCAACCTCCCTGTTTAATATCTGCTAGGTGAGAGGGTTCCATTTCTTTGGCTGTCCTGTTCCTGTGATCCTTCTGTTCTGTTACACTTTTAGTGATGGAGCTCCCAGAGCTGTACACAGTGCATGGGGTGAGAGCAGTTTGTGTTTGTGCTGTAATAACTGCGTTCCAGCTTCCAGTTATTGAACACTTCACAAAAGAGCTAATAGGATTAAGTTCACATCTAACTTTAGCTTGTAGCCTGTTAGTAAACACTAATGAATTAAAGTAAATAATTGCCAGAACAGTTGAATCTATTCCTTTAGGTATAGCCTTATACCTCAGTAATTAGTCCAGGGTATTCTTGTCTTCAGGTTATGCACAAAGACACAGTCTGTGTATTGTTTTCTTCTGTGTGGGGATAGTGCCTTCCTCTGGTAAAACACTTGGGGATTTGTTTACCAGGGACCAAAACCTATGATCAGAACTTAAACACAGATTGAAGAAAAATGCCCAGGTGTGGGGGGTTTTAATGCCGGCACTTAAGAACTGGTGGACGTTCCCTGTGACTGACCTCGCCTTTGCAGAAAATACTTTCCTTGTGGATAAGCTTCATCGTAGGGTTCCGTTTTCTCTCAGTGGTTCAGAGGTCTGCTTTTGGGTTAAAGCAGTAGTAATTCATGGTCAGGTATATGCAAGGGGAGAAAAATGAGGTCTTCCCTCTCTGTTTTTTCACTATTAGAGGAGTGTTGTCTAGGAAAAACCTAGAGTTTTTAAAAATTAAAGTGTTTCTTACAGTACTTTAATAATAGTCTTTAGGTACAACCACAGGGGAAGGAAGTTGACTTTAACCCCACAGACTCTTATTTCTGTGTGCTTTGATTGTGGGAATGCATGTGCTAAAACTTGCACTTTTCACTGGTGACACCTGTTGCTGCACAGGCACCTAGAATCGCTCAAAAACTTAACATCCCAGAGCTAGACTCTGTTGAACCTGCAGGTGAATCCCTAACTGCTTCATGTTTTTGCTCCCTGCTTTGGTATTGATGTTGAAATTAAAGTCTTTGCACCAAAACGGCCTGGGAACACATGGACAATTGGCAGCTCAGGTTCATCTGGGAAGTAGAAGGGGCAGAGGTAGCTGGTGACCTTTACAGGCACAGGTGACAGGGTGATGCCTCTTCTAGATCTAGCAGGGCTGCTTTAAGGCATGAAACTTGTAACTTCATTAATTTTGAATATAGATGCTGGGCAGCCTGTAGTGGGGGAAGACAGCCATTGTTTAACAAAGTATTGGCTTGATGACTTCCAAATAATGAACAGAAATCATAGCTCTTCCTTCAAGTTCTTCTGCCATGCAGAACAGCAAACGGAAGGCTGATGTGGTTTAAGTAGTGTGTGTATTATCTCATTGTTTCCATGTACTGCCCTACTTGGGTGTTTTCTGCTTTAAAAGTTTTCTTTTTGCGATACAAAACATACTAAAATGCAAACTGCAGTGGCCAGTTTCCTTGCTGTGCAAGAAACTGTTTGATTTATTGACAACATGTGTTGCAAATGTCAGATGATAAACAGTGTTGAAACCAATTTTCAAATATTAAGAAAAAGCTGTGCTAAGTACTGATCCATACCTCTGTCCTACCACCATCAGCCATCTCTTTTCAGTAAGTTTATTAAACACAGGTAATAACTTCAGTGCAGCAATTTTAAGCTTTGTTTTTAGGGGTCTTGTTTTGTAAAGTTGTTGTTTTTTAAATTATTTTCTTAAGCAATAAGTGGCAATATTTTTCAGGATTGATAGTGAAAATGCAGAAATCATTGCATCTTTAAAATGCTTTAGCAAAAGTAAAGATTTGTCTCTGCAAGAACCTTGACAAGTGTCTGTCTTTCCTAGAGTAGCCAGGATACAGTGGGGGAAGGCTATTGATATTCTCGTTACCACTTTTACTGATACCTGGTTACATGCACACATACCGTTGCCAGTTTCCTTAAAAATAGTATTAAAAAAGGGAGAGAAATAGAAATGACATTGTTAAGAAATCCTCACAAAACTATCAGACATCACGTGAAGAAGTAGCGTGATGTTAAAACAAGAACTAGGAATAAACAAGCAATGAAATCCAGCACTTTTTGTTAACAGGCTCCTATGACCTGTTGCATCAAGAGTAATTTAGACAATTGACTCCACATTTTCTGTATACT